ACAGATTTCCTAACCTGAAATCGTCAACTTTAACGCTTAATAACTCGGTTCGCGGGGCAGAGCGACGCTTATTTCTGCCAGATTCTTTCGTTTTAAGCAAAAACGCGTCGAATGAGCCTATGTTCATCGATTTTTGAGGTGAGCGGCTAAACTGTATAATTACCCAAATTTTATATATATATATATTACGGTACTATAAGTACTACTAAATCCGTTTCGTTAATCGTTATGCAACGTTATATAAAAGTACTATTAGTAATTTCAGAACGCTTCTGCAGTACTACTTTATGACGTCATGTTGCCAGTACTGACAGTGAATAACGAAACGCAGCCAACGAGAGTATGCATTTCCTATAGCAAAAATGAGGGACTAGCAGTCAAGGGGGTCGATTCTGTATTTACAAACAAGGTGAAAATTACAAAAGTGAGCAAATTTACTAGGCGTTGACTAATGAAATTATCAGTATTCTAGTAAATTCGCTCACAAAAGTAATTTTCACCTCATTTCAAGATACAGAATCGATCCCCAGGTGTATATAGTCAAAGGTCTGAAGTTGCTGCTAGCAGTTCATATTATATAGTTAAAGAAATGGTATAAATGCTGTCAAATCAAGACAAATTTTCTTGGCAGTGTTAAAGTCGGAGAGAATATCTTCGCGAATATGGATAAATTATCGAAGCCGCAAATAATTTGTCACATTGAGAAATCGGTAGACTATTCGCTGTTTGATGCAAAATGGATTCCATGCAGCGCAAAATTCGTGGTTATGGGTTCTCGCCCTCGTGGTACCGGCATTATACAGGTTTACGAGGTGTCTAGTGGCGAATTAAAGCTTGTCAAGAATATAGAAAGATCTAATCAAATAAAGTGTGGAACATTCAAAGCGTCCAGTCTTTGTGATAGATACTTGGCTACTGGTGATTTCAAGGTTTCTCTTATTCTAACATATCTATTGTGTGTTCAGTGTTCAGGAAGATTTTAATTGAAACATTCATTTGGTTCATAAATTACAAAGGCTAATTTTACAGGGTAAATTAAATATTTATAATTTAGAAGATCCTTCAATACCCATTTATTCAGTTAACGCTCACACACAGATTATAAATGCCATTGATGGAATAGCAGGTGCTAGTATAGGATGTGGAGCACCAGAATTAGTAACTGGATCTAGAGATGGAAGTGTAAAAGTGTGGGATCCTAGGCAAAAGAATCGACCAGTTGCTGTTATGGAACCTAAGGAAGGAGAAATTCGACGGGACTGTTGGTCAGTTGGATTTGGCAATTCTTACAATTCCGAAGAAAGAGTAGTAGCAGCGGGATATGATAACGGAGATGTTAAAATGTTCGACTTAAGAGCCATGTCACTGAGATGGGAAAGTAACTTGAAAAATGGAGTTTGCGGTCTTGAATTCGATAGAAAGGACATTCCCATGAATAAGCTAGTTGCTACTACACTAGAATCCAAATTTTATCTTTTTGACTTGAAGACTCAGCATCCCAAAAAAGGTTTTGCTTATCTTGTTGAAAAGGTATTATTTTGAATAAAAATTAATATTTATCTTTCTCTGTGAATATGTATTTATAATCTGTCGACTGCATGATTTTAGGCACACAAATCAACAGTATGGCTAGTTAAGCATTTACCGCAGAATCGTGAATTATTTGCGACATGTGGCGGTGGGGGAACAATTTGTCTTTGGAAATAGTAAATATATATGTTCATGTTTTTATAACTACACAATTACATTACATTCTGTAAAAATGTTTGAAAATTCATCGTTTATCGTTTTACAGTAATTATCCAGAGAAAAGAAAAGTTACGGATGCTGACGGTATTGAGCAAGGAATTATGGGCAATATTAGTTTGCTCCAGAACTGTACGCTCTCGTCGCAACCTATTAGTTCTTTGGATTGGAGCCCGGACAAGCAAGGACTTGCTATTTGCACATCGTTTGATCAATGCTTACGTGTTATTATCACTACGAAACTGAATACATATTGATTAAACAACGCAAAGAAAGTTGTACATGTAAATAAGCCTATATCAGTGGGAACAACAAATTAACATTTTAACTTTGTACGCTTACTATTAAATAACTATTAGATAACTATTAAATAAAGAGTTTTTGTTTTATATGTAACTTTTTTTATGATGAAATAGTAGGAATAACGCACTTTTTAAATTCGTTAAATGGCATCTCGATCTATCATGATTGAATCTGAGACATCGACTTTTCATTCGCCAACTGCAAGGTACATTGTGCAACGGCGAGCAGAGACGAGAGCAAATTATTTATATGTCATTGGGCCAATCTATTTAGGATCGGACCCTTATTAAGCATCGGCCATTTTGCGCACGAACGTGAATGTTACGCAATATCTCGAGCGATGTCCGCCATTTGAGATGCGTTCGACCCACTCGCTGTCGCTTGCACCTCCATTCCAACGACAACGCGTGAGGGCATAGCATTGCAATCGCGCACACAAGGTCAGGAATACCTCGGCTTTAATTACATAAATTAGACGTCGCGTCGCCAAGTCCATCTCTCACTCACTCGTCGCAATATATATTTATGCCGTTAGATCCCGCGCCCTTTCGCGTCCAATACAAGTCTAAATGTACATCTTGGTCTATCATTTTGATTGTACAAATTAGGAGTGCAAAGAAATTTAATTGAGATAATCGCACATAATTTACATCACGATCCATTTTTATTCAAAACATTTTTCTTTTCACTTTTTATAAAATGTTTTCTCTAACAAGACATATTTTTTTCTATTCCTTATTGCAACGTGATAGTACTAGTACTGCGGATATTTTCAAGGGAAGATTTCGCATCTTTGGTGTGTGGATACACATATATAACAAATTTCTTAATTTGCTCAGCACAAAATGGCTGCGGTCGATTTGGACGCTCACGTACTTTAAGTGCTTGTAATCATCCTTCTTTATCGTTCATTAGACGTAATAAATAAAAATGGAAGTATTGAAAAGCCCTGAAAGCGTCCAAATCGACCGCAGCCAATGTATCCATTGAAAGTTAAAAAAGATGAATCGTATCAAAAGAATAGATTGCTATTCTGGGAGTGTACAAGTGTCGGTTGGCTAATTACATAGCGGAATATACATATGTGTATTTACAGGAGCGTGTATATACGAACACGTGAACAAATAGAGAAGTATATGCAATACCTGGTTCCTATTTTTGTTTCTTGATGGCGCACTTGATGATGCACTTTGCGACGAATTGGTCAACATCCAAGATTTGCATTGCTTTTCCTGTATAATCCTAACTGTATAATCAACGCGATTTAATCTTTAATGGAAAGATCAATTCTTAGAAACTTTGATCCTTTATTAAATATCAAGACAATATTAAATATTAGATGTCGATAAGTATTTTTATGTGATTTTTTATTAATTGTATTAATCTTTCGAATTTTTAAGAAAAATAATTTCTATTCAAAAATAATAATTCAATTCATAACAATCTTTACATTTAAAAATTATTCCATTAAACAAATTATATTATTACTGTTTCACATTTAGCAAATGATGATAACTGTAACAGGGATCGGTAAATAAAAAAGATTCCAACATGAAAAATATTTATATTTCTCTTAATTTTTTAATAGTAATTTTGGCAGTAGTAAACTTACTTAATATACATATATAACTTATTATTAGTTAGAACATAAAATCACTGTATACGAACCTGTCAGAGTAAATCATTAAAATAAAAGAAAATTTAATATAAATACAGTAAGTCTAGATGATTGTAAAAAAAAAAGGTAAATCAGTTGGTGTATTAATATTACATATTAGAACATAAAATTCAAATTTCTTCACTACTAATAGATACATTTGTTGAAAGAATTTCTAAATGATAAAAAATTGACGATAGAAATATCAAAATGCAAGTTTCTTCATTAATAGGTACATGTGTTGATCTATCTCGAAGCCGTGCAGATTGTTCGCATCACCTTGTAACCTCATCAACAGACCTCCAAAAGATACATAGGCCGATCTGGAAAAAAAATAAAAAATGGTCAATTCAAGAGAGTTTGCATTGTTTTATATAAATATTCGAAATGCCTATCACCTTTGGCACTTGATGCATACTATGATTGTTCAGATACGATTTAATATTATGATTTTAAAAAGTGCCTAAAATTGAGCTTATATTTATACGATTTTTTTTTATTTAGGCTCTGCAAATTTGAAGTATTGATAAACACATGGTTAAAAAACATCCTGTATAATACGCAAAGCGGAAAGATTTTTAAATAACAGTTTTAACTTTGAATTATTAGTATCAATATTGTTCTGGCGCCATTTTAAATTTTCGGCGATTTTGAACAATTTTCATATCCAAGAAATTTTCAAGATCGTCAACAATGCTTCTCCTGGTAGCAGCAGATTTGCGACCGTCATAATTGCAGTGCCGATAGCGGTCGTGATTATATATATATATAAAAGAAGTTCCTCCTTCAAACGATTAAGAAAGATGTATCTGTTGGATCGATTGTGCCTCCAAATATTCCGTTCTTCAAGCTCGACTGATGATAATTTTCTTCTTCGTATCATTTCCTCATTTTATCTTTCTTTTTATAACGCATACGTATCAAACAACAAGGCTTTACAGAAATATTAATGTTTTAGTACATTAATGATAATAAATGATACAAGTCGTTTAAAAATGTATTGTATTCAGAGTTGCCATAGAAAATGAACTTTAAAATTCCCTGACTTGTCCAAGTTTTTCAAATAAAAATGGGAAATTTCCATGACTAATATAAAATATGTAAAAATTTTAATATTATAAAAATTAACATTAAAAAAAAATTTTAACATTTAGAATCAAAAATTGTAAGAAAACTAGTTTAGTAGATTATTAAAAATACAAAAGAAGCTTAGCAAGCAGCATAATAAAATTTGGGGACAAATTCAAGCCAAGAAAAAATAAATTAGTATTAAAAAAAAGAATGCAATTATGATAAAAAAGGGCGATCAAATTACTGAATAAAATATAAATTTTAATTATTTTTTTTAAATTGCCTATACATATATAATAAAGTATACGAGTTTTAAAAGTATTTGATTATAAATGTTAGGTATAATATTTAAAAAATTATGAAACTCATTTGGAATAGGAGCAGTTTAAGAGAATTGTGAACAAAGTTCAAAATTCCAGTCTCTTTTACATTTTTCCCTGATTTTTTTCGGTTTTCCAGATCTGTGGTAACCCTGGTATTTAAATCAAATAAAATGCGGATATAACAATTTGAACACAAACTTGAGATTAAAAATTGACATAATGAAAATAATGCATAAATTTATATAGAGCAACTATACGCCAAAATTATACTACGCAGACTTTCGCAGTAAGACAGCACTAAACCTTTTCCATCACTTGACAATCAGTTTACTTACAATACATAAACATTATAACATCTTGAAATTAAACATTACATTCCTTAAAAGCATACATTTTCAAAAAATAACACGTTGACTTTAACATTATAGAAATGATAGAATTCTTAAGTTACGTATCAACATTAAGAATATGTTTATACATTATACATATTTTCAAAACGATAACAGAATTATTAAAAAATTATAGATTATTCTAAATCACGTTTAAAAATAATACAACAAAATTTGATGAAGGTTTATATCTGGATCATAAATTATTTTAATAAATAGTAATATTTTTTAAATTTATGTTGTAATAAAAATATATAGAAATGTATTATAAAATAAATCATAAAAATTTCAATTTGTTAATATAAGTACATTATGTATTCAAAATTATTTACGTAAAGTTACATTACGATGCATAAACTAGTTATCGAGTAAATAAACAAAATATTAATTTTTTCTATATCTTTGTAACTAATCAGTGAATCGCAATGAAACTTTGCATAAATTATTTTGATTATTTAAAATACTTATAAAAGAAAAATATAAATTTTTGATTTAAAAAAATTTTCATTTTTAACAATAAGAACAATAACAAATAAAATAAATAAACTACAAAAATGTTACTAAACAAAAATAATCTTATTCATACAACTTTCATGTGTGTATAGTTTACTTGAAGTGTAAACAATAAACATACTTCGAAATTTAATTTTCTTTGCAGGGACTGTACGTGTGATATATCTTTGATTGTGCATTTAAGGATGTATTAGACATACAGTCACATACAGTCCCTGCAAAGAAAATTAAATTTGGAAGTACGTTTCATATTTACACTTCAAATAAACTATATACATATGAAAATTGTGTGAATAAGATTATATTTTTGTTTTTTGTAACATATTTTTGTAGTTTATTTTGTTATTTTTATTGTTAAAAAAATTAATAATTAAAAAATAATTAAAAAATTTGCATGTAATATTTCTTTTACAAGCACTTTAAATATTCGAAATAATTTATGCAAAATTTTATTGCAATTCACTAATTAGTTACAAAAATATAGAACAAATAAATATTTTATTTATTTACTGGTTTATACATCGCAATATAATTCTACGTCTTGAATACATAATGTACTTATATTTAAAAGTTAAGATTTTTATCATTCATTTTATAATACATTTCCATATATTTTTATCAGAGCACAGATTGAAAAACACATTATTATTTATTAAAATAACTTATAATCCAGATAGTAAATCAAATTTGTCGTATTAGTTTTAAACGTGATTTAGAATAATCTGTAATTTTTTAATAATTTCGTTATCATTTATGTTTGAAAATATGTATAAAACATCCTTAATTGTATATCATCTTGATAACGCTTACAAAATGCATTCTACGAAACTCGTCATGCTAATGTACATACATTATATACAAAAACACACATGAAATCCAAATTTCGCGAGATTTGTGAAAGAAAAATGTGTGAAAATACCGAAGGGAACTTTCACGGCACGTATTTTATGGGATTTTTCTATCGATTGACCTTGCCTTTGTAGAATCTCTGACTCTAAGAAGCACTCCACTTCTATAAGAGGCAATTATTTTTAGCCAAGTTCGAGCTTCTACTTACAATCTGGCTTCCTCTCTTCTTTTCGTCTATATAAAAAAGCTTTAAAAGATACTGTGTATTACTAATTCGTAACAGGTAACTTAACCAAATATACCATTGCAAATGCAACAGTAATTATAATAATTTATCTATAAAAATTATGCCTGCTTGTTAATACCTTAATTTTTTTTTATTAGATTTTAAATTTATGTACAAGTATACAACACAACGAATATGCTTCTAAAGTGATCTATATCCCATATATTCGAAGCAACTACTTCTTTTTCTGATAATGTTTTCGATTAAATATTTACTCCTCTCTCTCTCTCTCTCTCTTTCTCGGTCAAGTAATTAAAAAAATGTTTTACTTCGATAAATAATTTGATAGCTCATTAAGCAATTTAACTTGTTTTATATCTACGAACCTATCAAATATGACAGATAAAATGAATAAAAATAGATGAAGTGAAAAAAACAAGATTTCTCGACTAAAATTATTAAACTCCATTTACAAATAAATAATTTAATTTTAAATTAATATTTATTCTAATGGGGGGGGGGGGGATCATATTAATTATTTTATGTAATGTTTACGAAGATGATTCGATACGTTATTAAATAATTTAAAAAAAACTGCAAATATCTCTTACTTTACATCTGGATACTAGAAGAATACTAAAAAAAAAGAGAGTTTTTAAAACTATATAATTTATTTCTATTAATAAATTAATCACTAATAAAGGCGCTGGTGAAATTAAATGAAAAACGCATTAGATGATTTTTATTGCCATTTGATACAACAATATATGATCCTATGTATAAGCAATGCGTATTTTTGTGTGCACATAAATTGTTACGTTTATGTGAAGCCTTGTTACATGAAACAAGTATGCAACAAGCACTCTTCCATTAACAAATCCCTCATCGCGAATGGTCAAACGCCATTACGCCATTTATTCATACGGAACTGTCATTGCCGATGATATCGCATTAAAAAAAAAGAACATTTATCAATGCAACATGCATTCGTTTGCTTAATTGCGCATCCCTTCCTCCACAAGATATTATATCTCGGAATAAAAAGGAGGGAACAGGATGAAAAGCGGCAATAACAGTTTTTTTTAGCAGGATGTACCTATTTATTGCAGCTCATACAACACATTGTGTAATTTCGAACAGATTTTTTATAAAATTATTTTCTACAGAATCGACGTACCGACCGATTTCATGGAAATTCGTATTACACATTCACTATCCAAAAATTAAATTTACGCAACAAATATCAATTACAATATTATCTATCATTAATTTTTGTTTCAGACAAATTCGATATTTCTGAATAAAAATTATCAATACGATAACAATATATTATACATGTAAATTAATAATTAATATTTTTCTCCAGAGAAATACTTGTGAATAATATTCTTAATATTATAACGCATATTTCGCTGTTATAATTGTAATAATTATACTTTAAACACAGAAAAACTTGACAAAGAATAATTGATGTAATTTCTTATGCCCTACTTACAGAGTTACAGAAAGATAATTCGTACGAATTCTATCATAATGATATCGATTTTGTCATTAAAAGAGTAATATTTAAACCAGAGATGAAAAATATAATTAAATTGTTTAAAAAAAACACTGAAAATTGCTCTGTTATTTAATAGATTTTATTAAAACCAAAATTGTAATTAAATTTTATTATAAAATATTAATGTAATCGAAAATCTAAAACTGTTAAAAAAATTGAAGGATCTTTTTTTTTATCTCTGATTTAAACTTTCTCTCGAATCCGGGATTGTTACTAATATATATACATATATATATACATAAAAGAAGTTCTAAAAATCCTGTGTAAAAAATATAATTCTTATAAAGGTACTAGTATATAATGTACATCGAGATATGCACAGTATAATCATTCCAAGTTTTGTAAGTTTTGGAATAATCTAAAGGACGATACGTAAGATATATCACCTTCT